CGCTGCCCAGGCGGGCCTCGAACCCGTGGGCTCAGGCAATCCACTCACCTCAGTCTCCCAGAGGCGCGGGATTACAGGCTGAGCCACCGAGCCCGGCTTTTTGTTTTCCCACTCTTAACCTTTCTTTCAACTCTTGCTTGTTCCAGCCTTGCTCAAATATGCTACCAGTAGCGTTCCCTGAGCCACTCTCTTCCTACCCCCACCCTGAGCTTCCACAGGCCCCTGAGCGTTCCCTATCCTGGTCCTGGCCCTGACCCCTCTGCCTGTGCCTCTCTCACGACAGCCCTGACTATTCTGGTCTGGGCTTCTCCCTATCACAACCCTGACCACGGGGCTGTCAATGTTTGGGGGGGTATACTTGTCACTCTACTGAACTGGAAGCTCGGTGAGGGACAGGATCAAGGCAACACTGTGTTCCCAGCATCAGTGGTAGCACAGGATGGCCCAGAGGAGGTGCCCAGGGAGTGTGAGTTGATTGACCGAAAGAGGGTTCCTGATAACTGTTCAGCGACTGAGGCAGGGCTGTGGTCACCCAGCATTCAGGAGGCCCCTTACCAGGCAGAGCTCCAGCTGGTCACAAAGTGCGTAGAATTCCTCCAGGCACTTGTCAAAGCGCTGTATGGGTCCATCGCTGCTCTTTCTACAGATTGGGAGAAGAGGGTGAATGAGGAATGGATTTTCAGTCTCTGGGATACCAGTGTCTCTCCAACCAAGAGTCCATCAGGAAACCAGGGCAGGCCCAGGAAATCAGAGGCAGGGCTTGAAAGTAGGAGGGGTGGGGTGGGGAGCAGGGAGAAGAATTTCGAAGACTGAGGTGGTCATAGGATATTCTGGGAAAGGGGGCTGCACTCACTGTCCGTTATCGATGTTAGTGTTCTGAATCAAGTTCTGGGCTGCAACCTTCATCAAAGTCTAGTTAAAAAAAACAAAAAACAAATGACGCGGAAGACGGAGAAACAGAAGAGGATATCTCAGGCAGGCCTCTTCTTCACCTTCCCTTCAGACACTCCAGAGCAATATTCGTTTCTACTTCCGAGCAATCAGCACTGCTCCTTTCCCAGAGGCCCGCCCTTACCTAGGGTTCCCGCCAATAACCTCCCGGACAGCGCTTAGGCTCCTTCACCTAAAAATCGCGGGCAGAATCTCCGTAAAAGCCAGTCCTTTCCTCTGGTTTTCACGAGCAGCGCCCGGTTTCTCCTTTAAACTATACCCTTTCTTCCACTCAAGTTCTGGCCGATCCCATTCTCAATATCAGTGTTGATTTCCACCTCACGCTGTCAATCCAAAGAGCTTCGCTTTGGCTTCGCAACAAAGAGCAAAAGTCCATTCCTCTTTCCTGTCTAGCAACCTGTCCGAGTCCCTTAGCCCGCCCCGCTGGAGCCAGACTGTCACGACCCGCTTGCTCGCGGCTCATCACCTGTAGACTCTCCTTCAGCTGCGGGATGAGCATCTTATAGCGCTGCACGGGATCGAAGTCCTGTTGCTGCTGCTGCAGGAGCCCGCTCTGGGCAGGACCCACCAGCTGTGCTGGCGGTTGCGTCTGCTGCTGGGTGCCCGGACCGCCAGCCGAACCAGGACCCGAAACGCCAGCAGCTGAGGAAGCCGCTGAAGTCTGCTGCTGGGACGCAGCCATCTTTCTCGCTTACAGCGCCGGAAGTGCGTCACAAGCAAGTCTCCCCGTTTTTCGCGTCCCGGGCTCCAGGCCCCGGTTGCTAGTTAGCTCCGCCTCCCAGACAATTCAGCCAATAGGAGGAAGGGAGGTGCCCCACCCGCCAACTCTCTCAAATCCCACGTCCAGACGGAGTTGTGTTTCCACCAGTCGTAGGAGCGCCTCTCCCGCGCTCCGCCCCTTGCCCAGTCGCTCGCCAATCCGCGCGTGGTTCCGATCCGGACTCCATTTCCCCGAAGGCCTCGCTGCCTGAGGCGGCCTGTCGGGGCCTCGGCGTCTTGGCGGCGGTTGGTGGAGCCGGCGCTTCGGGCCCGTCCCTGGTGCTGCCTGCGTGTTTACCTGCGTCTCGCCGGCGGCGCTTCCCGCCCGCCCACTTCACCCCGCCCTTCCCGCAGAGAGCGGCGCCCGCCGGAGCCCGGCCCCTGATCCGGCGCCCCCCGAGGTCGGCACGCCCCTCCGCGGCTCCCTGCGGCTCGGCGAGGACCCCGTCCGGGCTGCCGTCGCCTCGTCGCCATGGCGCCCACCATCCAGACTCAGGCCCAGCGGGAGGACGGCCACAGGTAGGCGTCACGCCGCCTGGCTGTACCGCCTTCCTGTCTAGGTGCGGCCAGGCGGGGCACCGGGCGAGGGTTTCTTCTGCACGGCGCCACCAGCCCCCCGGCCTGTCCGTGACGTCACGGAGCGCGCACCTTTGGCGAAGGGGGCGGGCTCCTGCTGGGACGCAGGTGTTGCCCCTTCTCCCCTGCGTCGAGTTTGGGAATTTAGCTCCTGGAGACTCTCCAGAAGGGCTTGAGCGCATAGACCCCGCCGGTCAAGGTTTGGAGACCCCTCTTGCAAAAACGACTGAGTACGTGGTTCTATATTCAAGCGCTTGGAGACGTCTCCTCAGCCAGGCGCGGTGGCTCACACCTGTCATCCCAGCACTTGGGAAGGTGAAAGCGAGAGAATTGCCTGAGCCTAGGGGTTCGATACCAGCCCGGGCAACTTGGCAAGACCTCTACAATAAATTTTTAAAAATTAGCTGGGCTGGTGGCGTGCGCCTGTAGTCCCACCTCGTCGGGAGCCTGAGGCAGAAGGGTCGCCTGAGCCCAGCAGGTCGAGTCCGTGGTGGCTGTGAGCGTGCCGATGCACTCCAGCCTGAGCGACAGAGACTCTGACTAGGAAAAAGGAAAAAAAAGAGAGACATTTCCTCCAGAAGGGATTCAGCACTTGTCCTCCTTCGTTAAAGCATCTGGGGTGTTTCCTCCAAAAGGAATTGAATGGTCCGCCCCCTCCGTTAAAGCACTTGGAGCATGCTTACCAAAAAGGATCAGTATTCGTTCCCCTTCCTTAAACCTTTTAAAAGCTTGGGGAAGCCTTTTCACTCTCCTGTCAGTCCCTCAAGTCCTCTCCCTTTTTTTTGAGTTGAAGTCTCACTCTGTCACCCAAGCTGGAGGGCAGTGACACGCTCCTGGTTATCACAACCTCTACCTGCTGGGCTCAGGCAATCCTTCCACCTCAGCCTTCCAAGTAGCTGGAACTACAGGCACACGCCACCATGCCTGGCCAATTTTTTGATTTATTGTAGAGATAAGCTCTCGCCAAGTGGCCCAGGCTGGTCTTGAACCCGCGGACTCCCAAAGTGCTGGGATTACAGGTGTGAGCTGCGGCGCCTGGCAGCCCTCTCCCCTTTTATTGATGTTTCTTTCTTCCCCACTAGGCCCAATTCCCACCGGACTCTGCCTGAGAGGTGAGCCCCAGGCTGCCTTCCCAGGAGGGGTGGGACAGTGGGGGCTGGGAGTGGAGGTGGGGCAGCAGGGGCCCGGTTTTGAGCTACTGTGTTCCCAGGTCTGGAGTGGTCTGCCGAGTCAAGTACTGTAACAGCCTTCCTGATATCCCTTTCGACCCCAAATTCATCACCTATCCCTTCGACCAGAACAGGTAAGACTGAGATCAGTGATGGGGAAACTACCCAGAAACGTGAGCTCCTTGAAGGCAGGCTTGTTTTGTTGAGTGCTGTCTCTTCGGGGCCTAGCACACACTTGCCGTTACTTAGTATCTGCTATGAATGGAGCCAGCAGCGGTCAGGTCCCTTCTAACTGCAGAATCAGCCTTCAGACTCCAACCTGGGGACACTCCATTCTGACTGAGCTCCTCCCCAGAGTGGCTTAGCCTCTGGGAAGCAGGGCTATGAGGGGTGAAGGGGAAGCTGGAAAACACAATGGTATGTTTCCCCACCCAGGTTTGTCCAGTACAAAGCCACTTCCTTGGAGAAACAGCACAAGCATGACCTCCTGACTGAGCCAGACCTGGGGGTCACCATCGACCTCATCAACCCTGACACCTACCGCATCGACCCCAATGGTATGTGGGGAAGACAGGGAGGGTGTGCTCTTGGTCAGCAAAGGCCAGGCCTGGGCCTCCCTCATGGTCTTCCCGCCCCCTCGCTTCCTCTAGTCCTCCTAGATCCAGCTGATGAGAAGCTTTTGGAAGAGGAGATTCAGGCCCCCACCAGCTCCAAGAGGTAAGGAAGTGTCAGATGGCCACTGGGGACTGCTGGCGTAGCCTCTGCAAGCAGGAGGGCGGTGGAGTCCTGAGGTGCCTGATGTCCTTCCCCAGATCCCAGCAGCATGCGAAGGTGGTGCCGTGGATGCGTAAGACAGAGTACATCTCTACTGAGTTCAACCGTTATGGTATCTCCAATGAGAAGCCTGAGGTCAAGTAAGTTACAAACAGGAAGGGAGGGAAGGGGGAGATTTCAGATATGTCCAGCAGCCCCTAAAGGTCTTTTTCTTCACTCCTAGGATCGGAGTTTCTGTGAAGCAGCAGTTTACCGAGGAAGAAATATACAAAGACAGGGATAGCCAAATCACAGCCATTGAGAAGACTTTTGAAGATGCCCAGAAATCAGTAATCGAGGGACTGGGATGGGGAGAGGCAGACAAAAGTATGGCTCCAGAGCTCCTCTTCACTCTGTTTTTTGTTCCACCAGATCTCCCAGCATTACAGCAAACCCCGAGTAACACCGGTGGAGGTCATGCCTGTCTTCCCAGACTTTAAGGTCAGGCCCTGGGTAGGAAGCAGAAAGGGATAGCCTCCCATCTCTGCCTGTTGTAGTCTAACCCCAATGCCCTCCACCTCCCTAGATGTGGATCAACCCATGTGCTCAGGTAATCTTTGACTCAGACCCAGCTCCCAAGGACACCAGTGGTGCAGCTGCGTTGGAGATGATGTCTCAGGCCATGATTAGGTAAGCGGTCCTGTTGCTCACCTCACCTCACCTCGACCTGCTTCCTGTTGCCCCTTTGCCCTCACAATTCACTGTCCCTCCTTTCCCCAAACCAGGGGCATGATGGATGAGGAAGGGAACCAGTTTGTGGCCTATTTCCTGCCTATAGAGGAGACGCTGAAGAAACGGAAGCGGGACCAGGAGGAAGAGATGGACTATGCACCAGATGATGTGTGCGTGGGCTGGGGTTAGGTTTTGGAGTCCGAGAAGTGTGTTCCCTTTTTTCCCTTATAGGGAAAAAGTTGGGCTGACCCTGTGCTTTCATTATCAGGTATGACTACAAGATTGCTCGAGAGTACAACTGGAATGTGAAAAACAAAGCTAGCAAGGGCTATGAGGAAAATTACTTCTTCATCTTCCGAGAGGGTGATGGGGTTTACTACAACGAGTTGGAAACCAGGTATTTGGCACACTCCTATCTGAATAGCTGGAGCTGTGCTTCTCAAGACCCTGGGGGATGCAAGAGCCACCTTAGAGGCCATTTGTACTTAAGGATTTGTCACATGCATTCATAAGCAAGAGGAGCAGATGCTTGGTCATGCACATGGCCTGGACTTGGTTACGACACAAGAGGCCAGAAAAAATCTTAGTGCTGGAGACTTTTAAGGCTTATATGTAGGGTAAACAGCCAAATTTCCCAATGATAGTAAGAGATTTGATGTGAAAATATAAACAAAATATGGAGTAATATAAAATTAGAATGAATGTCCTAAATGAAATGCTTGTTACCCAAGTTAAAAAATGTGACCCCAAAACGCTTTCCTGATAGCTGAAAGCTTACTGCTGTGCTGGGGCCCTTGGTGTAAGAACTGGGAAAGCTTATCTTGAGTTTCTGTCTAGAGATCACATATTCTGATCCCATAAGCCAAACAGGAAATGTAAAAGGCAGCAGCAGCTGGTGGGGTCTGAGTGACCTGGACCTCAGGGCAACTTTGGAGGGGTGTAACTCACTTTTAACCCACTGTTGCTATGCTATGGGGAAAGCTCATAAATACCTGTTTTTTCAGAAATCCTGATTTGACATCAGTTTTTTGGCAGTGTTAGGAACTATTTTACATATATAGTCCTGTGTCACAGGATGACATTTCAGTCAACAAGACTGCTCATGGCGGTTCCGCAAGATAGTAATACCATGTTTTTACTATACCTTTTGTGTGTTTAGATACAGAAATGCTTACCACTGTGTCACCATTGCCTACAGTATTCAGTACAGTAGCACACTGCACAGGTGTGTAGCCCAGGTGCAACAGGCCATAGCATAGAGCCTAGGTGTGTGGTAGGCCAGCCCATCCAGGTGTGTGTTTGCATGACCTGTTTCTCAAGAGCATACCCCTGTTAAGTGACAAATGATTGTATACACTGTGGGAGTGCTCACCTTTCCCCTTCTTTGCTCTCAGCACCTTTAGTCTCCCTTATTCAGCCTGTATTTATTCTGGTGCACTCTGGGCTAAGTACTGATGGATAACAGAATCAGACCAGACCCCTCACTGGAGAGCAGTCTTTAACGACATCTTCCATCCTTCACCCCAAACTCGCCTGCTACAGGGTCCGCCTTAGTAAGCGCCGGGCCAAGGCTGGGGTTCAGTCAGGCACCAATGCCCTGCTTGTGGTCAAACACCGGGACATGAACGAGAAGGAGCTAGAAGCGCAGGTAACAAGAGCCCTGGCTCAGGGAACCATGGGATGGACTGTGGTGGGTGAGGAGAGGGACAGAGGTCCAACAGAACACTCCTTCCTCTCATTCCAATCCTGCTGCTTTCAGGAGGCACGGAAGGCCCAGCTGGAAAACCACGAACCGGAGGAGGAAGAGGAAGAGGAGATGGAAGCAGAAGAGAAAGAAGCTGGGGGCTCAGGTAGAGCTGGACAGGCCAGACTCTGGGAGGCCTGGGAGGGGGAGACTGGGTCTCACCTCTCTGCTCTTTTCCAGATGAGGAGCATGAAAAGGGCAGCAGCAGCGAGAAGGAGGGCAGTGAGGATGAGCACTCAGGCAGTGAGAGTGAACATGACGAGGGTGACAGGGACGAGGCCAGTGACAAGAGTGGCAGCGGTGAGGACGAGAGCAGTGAGGATGAAGCCCGGGCTGCTCGTGACAAAGAGGAGATCTTCGGCAGTGATGCGGATTCCGAGGACGATGCTGACTCTGATGATGAGGACAGAGGACAGGCCCAAGGTGGCAGCGACAATGATTCGGATAGTGGTAGTGACGCGGGTGGCCAGCGGAGCCGCAGCCGCAGTCGCAGCCGCAGTGCCAGCCCCTTTCCCAGTGGCAGTGAGCATTCAGGCCAGGAGGATGGCAGTGAAGCTGCAGCGTCCGATTCGAGTGAAGCTGACAGTGACAGTGACTGAGTCGCAGGGCTTTTGGGGCTGGCACAGACACCATTATGAGCAGGAAGGCCCTTTTCTAGTGGTCTTTGTGAGCCCTTCATGTGTTTGCCCCCCACCCCAAACCTTTCTTGTTAATAAAGCCAACTTCTCTTTACTTCCCCTCCTTGCCCCTGTGGTCTCATTCAGCCCAGCCCCCCACCCCAGGTGCTCAAGGACCTCAGCTTGAGGCATAGAAACAAAGGCCACAGAGGCAGGGCCACTGGGTTTCCCACAAAATGTATCACGACAAAGATCAGAATTCTTTTTTTGTTTTTGTTTTTTTCCAAAATAAGCCCAGACCATTAAACAAGTGAAACTCCAACAAATAAGTCTTCTCCAACAGCGAGAAAAACTATACAGTTACTCAAAGCTGATTCTGCCAGTGGGGCTGGGGACAGAAGTGGGTGGAAAGGCGAAATCATGGAGGAGGGCCTGGGGAGGGTGCTGGAGTGGGAGGGGTCAGGGTCCTGCCCATCAGAGTGGGGCCGCCTGCGTCCTGCACACTCTGCTGTCAGGTGGGCGGGAGGGGGCAGCTCTTGCCTCCCTTTGTATGTGAGGTGTCCCTCACCACCTCCCAGTGCCAGGCAGAGTCAGCTCACCCTGATGGGGAGTGAACAAGACAGGACTGGCTGGGGAGAGGTGAGGGTCCCAGAAGAGGGACACCCTGCTGATTCCAAACGAGGTGGCCTGTCCATCCCACTTCCCGCAGCTAGTGGGAGGGGGACTGGAGAAGCCCTGGGAGCTTGAGGGGAATGAGCAAAGGCACAGAAACATGGAGGGGCCGGGGTGGGGGACTTGCATAGGTTGATGAGTGTGCAAGAGGTACATAAATAAACCTGACACCCCACCCAGCCCGGCACTGGGAGAGGAGGTGGGGACCCAGAGGCAGGTCCCCGGGGCCACCCTGCCCCCTGGCTTCCCCCTCCCTGGGCTCAGAGCAGAGGGAGGGCCACAGGCCAGGAGGACAGGGGCAAGAAGGTCTAGGGAACGGGGAGATAGTGCAGGGAGGGTGGTGGTTTTAAAATTTTTTTTTTGGTTTTTTGTTTTTTCCCAACATTTTGTATCTTTAATAACATACACAATGGTTACCAGCCATATTCATAACAAAAGTTATTCATAAAATGTATCTAAAAATAACATTTTTTTTTCCTTTTCGGTGTGAAAAGCTTGAGAATGTCCCAGTGAGGTGGGAGGGTTCAGAGGGAGGAGGAGGTTGGGACGGGGGACCCTGGCATCCCCACAGTATGAACCCCCAAATTCCCTCTCCACCGGGGCCCCAACACAACCCCTCATTAGGAATAGGGATCAGAGGGTCTGTCTCACTCTGGGACTGGGACAAATCTCTGGGTTATGATATAGTGTTCCACTAAAGTGAGGTCATGACATAATGGGGGGTTGCGGAAAGGTTGAAAGAAAAGGTGGGGTGGGGAAAAAAACCAAAACCAAACAATCCCCTTTCCCTTATTCCTTACCCCCAAGTCTTTGGACAACCAGACCTGGGAGCGGAGAAGGGTGTGTGTTGGTGGGGGAAGGGGATGTTAAGGCAACAGACTTCCTGACCTCACCGGCTGCCCTGGCTGCCCACCTTCCACCTCTGCATCTGGGGAGCCAGGGCTGGAGGAAAACGGGGAAGGGCTCCAGGGTCTGGAGGAGGGGGCTCTGCCCTCTCCCCGCATAAAGTCCAGGCTCCCCTGCCACTGTCTTGGCTCAGAGAGAAGCCTGGGGGTTCTAAAAATGAGAGGGAATGATCAGAGAGAAAAACCGTTAAGAACTATATAAATATGTATCTTAAATAGGCCTAAGAAATTAATTGTAGAGAATCTCTGGTAAACAGAGCAAAGGGAGGTGAGGGGGAGGAAGGTGGCTCCTGTCCTGGGGAATGCTGGGGAAGGGGAAGAAGGTGGAGCAGGGAGAGCGCCTCCTCTCTTCACTCCCCTTCTCCCTGCTCCTCTCAAATAACATTCTGGAGAGCAGGGTCTCTACCCTGCTCATTTCACCCCAAGTGTCAACCGTGTATGAGCAGGCTCCACAACGTAGTGGTCAGTTGTCTCTGGGGAGTTTGCTCCCGCGGGGAGAAGGGGCAGGTGGTCAGTGGTCTGGAGGAGGCCGGGGCAGGATGGGGCCAGGTGGGGAAGGAGCAAGGGAAGGAGAGGGGCAGGCAGTCTGGCCAGTCCCTGCCCCCTTTATCCTGGCTGCCCCCAACTCCCCCGGCCTCAGCAGAGGTCCCTCGACGGGCCTGGGAGTGAGCAAGGCATGTGCCAATGTTAAACAAAAGTTAAAATGGTGAGAGAGTAGAAAAATATTAGAATGTATAGCTGAGCCAGCCCACCCTCTCGCTGTCGCAGAGAAGCCCGTTGGGGGTTGGCCCCCGCCCGCCGCCCGGGGAGCCTATGGGTGCGCTGGGCTGTGGGTCCTGTCAGATGGTGGAGGTTTTGTCTGTCCCATCTGTGGTAAGAAAGGGAGGAAGGGAGGAAGATCAGGAGCTGGCGGGAGGCCCAAGAAAAGGCACTCAGGTAGCCTGTCATCCCAGTCAGGCCCTCCCTGGAGTCTGGCCTCCCCTAGGGACCCTCAGGATGTCTCTGAGTTGCTCAGTTCAGAGGTGGAGACGCTGGGTAGGTGGGAGCTGGGTCAGGGAAAGAGGAAATGCTCACCACCCAAGGCGTGTTCTGTCATGCTCAGACACAGAGACTCCAGAGTGGGATTGATCTCCAGGTCAGGTCCAGGGACCGGACAATCTGGGTGGGAGACAGGAGAATGTAAGTGGTGAGAACTGACAGGACCAGGGTGAAGAGTAGTGCTGAGGAGACAAAGGACTGGCATGGGGAAGCAAAAGAAGGAAGGGGAGGGATGCTGAGACTTCCAGGGGAAAGGGAGGAGAAGGCAAATCAGGGAAAAGGACACGCGAGACATGCACACACAGATGGAAGGTTTGACAGGGCAGAGATGGACAGAGAGAGGCCTGGTGTCACAAAGGAGGCAAAGGAGTTGATGATGAGGGCAGAGGTTTGGCAATGCAGAAAAAGCCCAACTTGCAGACAGAGGAAGTGATGTGAATCAGAGAGAACTTCCTGGAGGCCACACACAGGCTGTGACTATTCTGGCCACGGACTCCACGTTGCCTTGGGCACAGTCTGGACAATTGCCCTGGACATCAGGCAGCCCTGTGCTCCCTGACTGATGACCTGCTCTGTACTTGGTGCAAAAGCTAAATTAAAACCTTTCGCATCCCTACTTGGACTTGCTCCTGTGGGCAGGATTAATCCAGCCCACAGGAGCAAGGTGGGCAGGTGGGGCAAAGTAGGACAGCAGCCATGGGACTTGTCCTCAAACTGCGTCTCAAAAAGGGCCTCCTATTCTGGCATCTGGGAAACAGCCCACACCTCCCTGGGCAGACCTGACCCCACCCCACACTGCTTTAAAGCCCTTTCTTGGCCCTCATTGCCATCAGGAGAAAATTTGAGCTGTTTACCTGAATTGAGAAGACCCAGCTCCCATCGCCAGCCTCACCTTTCATTACCTCTCCAGGTGAACCATAAGCTCATGTATCAGACCGCCTTTTTTTTTTTTTTTTTTGTCGAGGTCTCACTGTCACCCAGGCTGGAGTACATAGCATGATCACAGCTCACTGCAGCTCAATTTCCTAGGCTCAGATGATCCTTCTGCTTCAGCCTCCAGAGTAGCTGGAACTACCTACGTGTACCACCACACCCTGCTGATTTTTTTTTTTTTTTGGGTAGAGTTGAGGTCTCTCTACATTGCCCAGGTTGGCCTTGAACTCCTGGGCTCAGGCAATCTGCTCCCCTCACCCTCCCAAAGTGCTAGGATTACAGGCGTGAGCCACCATTCCTGGCTAATTGTCTCTTCTTAAAAACAAGTGTTCTTTAGGCCAGGTGCAGTGGCTAACACCTGTAATCCCAGTACTTTGGGAAGCGAAGACGAGAGGACTGCCTGAGTCTACAGGTTCGAGACCAGCCTGGGCAACTTGGTGAGACCTCATCTCTACAATAAATCAGAAAATTATCCAGGCATGGTGGTGCATGCCTGTAGTTCCAGCTACTTGGAAGGCTGAGGGGGAAGGACCACCTGAGCCCAGCAGGTCGAGGCTGCGGTGGCCATGTGCGGGCCACTGCACTCCAGCTTGGGTGACAGACTCTGACTCAAACAAAAAGAATTTTCTTTGGGTGCAGTGCAATTTTCTTGGGCCTTGGGTCTGTAATCCCAGCACTCTGGGAGACTGAGGCAGGAGAATCACCTGAGCTCAGGAGTTCGAGACAACAGAGCAAGACCATAGCTTTATAAAAATAAAAGGCTGGGCACAGTGGCTCATGCCTATAATCCCGGCACTTTGGGAGGGCTGCCTGAGCCTATGGGTTCGAGAACAGCCTGGGCAACTTGGTGAGACCTCATCTCTACAATAAATCAAAAAATTAGCCGGGTGTGATAGCACGTGCTATAATTCCAGCTACTTGGAAGACTGAGATGGAAGGATCACCTGAGCCCAGCAGGTCAGCCTGGGTGACAGAGTGAGAGACTCCAACTCAAAAAAAACCAAAACAGCCGGGCTTGGTGGCTCAGCCTGTAATCCCGCGCCTTTGGGAGGCTGAGGTGAGTGGATTGCCTGAGCTCGCGGGTTCGAGACCCGCCTGGGCAGGCGAGACCTCATCTCTACAATAAATCAAAAAATCAGCCGGGCGTGGTAGCGCATGCCTGTAATTCCGGCTACTTGGAAGGCTGAGGTGGAAGGATCACCAGAGCCTATCAGGTCGAGGCTACGGTGGCCGGGAGTGGCCACTGCACTCCAGTATGGGCAACAGAGTGAGGCTCCAACTCAAAACCAAACAAACAAACAAACAAAAACACCAAACAATAAAAAATAAAAAATTAACCAGATGTGGTGGTGCGCCTATAGTCTCAGCTATTTGGAAGGAGGAGGCAGAGGACTGCTTGAGTTTGAGGCGGCAGTGAACCACTGCACTCCAGTCTGGGTGCCAGAATGAGACTTTGTCTCTAATATTAAAAATAAAAACAAAAATTCGTTTTGAAGTTAGGCAAGATCCCTCTGTTTCAGATTGGCAAAATGAGATTAATATTTATGCCTGAATACAAGGAGTTTGGAAGGAGGATTCAATAAGACAGTGTGGGAAAGCTGTTGGACAGAGCCTGGCACACAGCAAACCCCCAAGAATGGTTTTCCCCCCGACTCCTACAGTTCATCCATGTGCTCATTTAACATCATTTAGAGATGTTTACTGTGTGCAAAGCCCTGTGCCAGATGAACACGATGGATGGGCTCCCTGGGCTTCAACAGATGGCACTCCACAT